AATCCTTAACAATATTTTGTTCGAGTTGAAAATGGTACCAGTAGGCTAGAATAACCTGGAAATGAATTTGGCAGACTTTTTTTGAAAATGTATGCTTAAAAAGTGAAGCTATAAAAACGTTTTGGTATTGTTCGTTAGACGCTGCTAGACTCAGCTCGACGAGGTCTATCGCTTGGCTAACTCAGATTTTAATTTGGTGGTGTTTGTGAGTGTTCGCATCGTTTAGTAATACCCGAATTCTTTCGATTCTGAGTTTTCACACTTCTTTCATTGGATATACACAAATGTCATAATGTACGATCTTTTTTGAACTTGATCATGTTTTTCACTTTTGTCATTGAGAAGTCAAAAATACATAACATTGAAAATAACAAAAAAGATTTATTTACAGTCAACTATCACTGGTTTAACAAGATAATCATTCTTATTATTTAATAGATCCCTGGCCACACTCTAAACTTGACTTTCTCACAATAATCTAGCCAGTATTGTCCATATTTAAGTTTACATTTTTGATCATCACGATGTGCTCGATGCATCAATAATATAAACAAAATAATTACATATAAATACGGAAGGACATAGTGAAAACCATTAGGACATGACCATAAAAATGCCAACACTAATTCAGGTATGTAATGGAAATGTCGAGAAATGCCCCAATAACCATTTGCCAACAAAAGACTTTCTGATTCATTACCATTTAGTAAACGGTATTTGGCACGTATGAGTTGTGGCTGACTGCCCCATATAAAACAGTTACCATTTGTTCTACGAACGTGTAATTTTTGTCGATCAGCATCATAGTTGATGTAAATTGAAAGAAATCCAAGCAATAACACAAGAAAAGTTAAAGTTGGACCGAGTTGTTGACGATGAGACACCAAAAAGTAAGATGGTAGAGTGTACAAAGCTAAAAAAAGGACATAGACATACACCGAACAATAGTTATTAATTTTTAGTCTTTAAAAAAGTTGACTAACCTGGTACCCATACAAGACAACCCCAACATAGATAAAAACCGGCACGATCCACAATAATATCCATTGTTTTCATGTAACCCGATTCCCACCAAAAGAATTTTGTTAAATAAACCACTGTCAATATACATGTCACCAGTGAACTATCCGCATATCCGTACAGCTCGAAGGCTTTCATACAAAATATTGCTGACAAAAGTGCCCATGCTAACATACCAAATCGACAATTTGTAATTAATTTAATATCGACTCCAAATATTCTTGGATACAATTCAACACCACGATAAAAATCAATAATCCAATTGGGAGATGAACGATATTCACGCGTTGATGGAAAATATTTACCTAAAACAACAAATCAGTTTAATATCACTTTTAGATAACGGATTCTCGAATAAAAGTGATCTTATTCTTACCTTTTAACATAAGAAAAAGACAGAATATAAATGCAAATGTGTTTAATGTTGATAAAAATTGTTCAAAATTATCATAGATATACGTTGGTGTTAAACCAAATACTTTTAAGCCAGCGGTTAATATTACAAATAATCCCAATGAAATTAAATAATAACTGAAACCATTATCTTTATATTCAGGTACATGACCATAATCTGTAACTGGACCATGATACTTTTCACCTGGTAGCAGAAGAGTCATTAAGATTGAATAAGAGATGAATAAGAAAAAAATTATTGCACTTGGCCAATGCCATTGTAAATAAAAAAAGTGCTCTAACACTTGTTTTAACGTCATCTGAGTAGATATTTGTTTAAAAAAGTCTAAAAAGAGAAAAATTAGAATAATAGTATTTCTATTTAATTCTATAGAATTGTTATACTTACCCAATAATGAGCCATTGGCATGTGTACAAATATAAACTACACTTCGTACAAAAAATGGACAAAATGAACATAATATTAATGGAATAATGGCTTCAAATATAACTTTATTTTGACCACGACGATGGTGTACTGATAATAGATGAAGTTCTTTTGTTACTAACATATCGTTCATAGACAAATCATTTTTATCACTAATAATAGCCGTTTTTTCCTTTAAAGAATAACGACCATTCTGTACTCTTAAATTAGTACTACTCAGTGACATTTGTAACTATACTAGAAAAAAAGAACAAAAAAATCTATTTTTTTTTAGAAAGCTGTAAAATTAGTCAATTAACGATCTTTCCCTCAAGCCACTAACGAAGACTTAACATATATATACCAACAGAGAGTTATTATATACAAATTTATTTGCAAGTCTTTTCATGAGGTCGATGAAATGCATTTTTTTTTTCTTCGAATAGTAGAGGGCAAATTTAAACTTATATGTATATTCTAAAATGTTCTCACCTTTGAATGATAAGGATTAAATAACTGAGATCACGCGTATATTTGATGTTAGGACTTCGTTTTTTAAAGAATGAGAAAAATGCTTATTAGAATATATCTATTTTTGTTAGATGAATATATGTATATATATATATATTTATGGGGAAGATTTATAATAGTTCAGAAAAGATGTAACACCAAATTATATCCGTTCTATTCTTCTATTCTTTTTTCTTTTCTTTTTTTTTTTGGTAAAACCATTTGTTTTAGAATGTCGAAAGTATTAAATAGAGTTGTCTTATAGATGGAAGAAGAAGAATAAGAATGAGCAAAAGAAAGAATAAGTATTATTATCTAAGAATAATTGAGAATATAGAAAAAAAAAGAATACAAAAGAAACTTATTATCATGGATGCTAAGGAAATGAAAAGAATAGGGATGACTTAGTAAATATCCTTCGAACCAAGAAACACCGACTCTATTAAATTAGTAGTAATCAAAAATAGAATATATGCGTTATTCAATTAATAATGAAAAAATATGGGGGCATTGAAAGTAATGAAGCAAATACACAATTGACGTTAATCATAGATCTGCCTCTGTCAATCTTATTAAAACTGTTCTATTTTTAAAAGATAGCAAAAAACTTGCCTTTTTCACGTTAAAGTTTCTACTGATCCGGCAAATATTCTAGTATTCTCCGGATAGTGATGACAGTAATTTGAGTAGAATAAGAGAAATATTTGTCATAAAGTCATGTTAAAACCCACTAATTCAAATTTGTAATATTTCTTACCAGTGATATTTTTTAAAAGAAAAGTGAAGATACTTTCTTTAGCTCAAAAAGCCAAGAACACAATAAAACAGCCAGAATAATTAGACATGGGTATTGTTGTCAATTTATTTTTATGCCAAACTATTAAATGTTTGAACATTGTCAAAATAAACAAGTTTTATTTTGTATACAAATGAAAATGTATACATGTCTTGTGTCTTGTGCATATGTATTCTTGGTGAAGAAAATTCAAAGTGTTGCTACAAATTTGTGGCTGCCCATAGGCAAGCATTTTTAGTTTATCTAAAAGAATAAAAAGTGTGTGTGTCTCAACCGTATAGTTGAAGCTAAAACTAAGTAAAATTAGAAACAAACTAAGTCTATAAAAAGCGAAAGCCAGAACAATCTGAATTTGACGGTGTTATTGCCTTGTTGTCGCTGCTAGTGTGCCGAAGTCTTTTTATTTTAAGAATTAATAATAACAACAAAAAACGTTAAACGTATGAATGCGTTCCGAGCCTATGTCGGTATCCGTGTATGGTAAATGAATAAAAAAACTGAAAAATAGGCTAGAGAATGACCAAATTGCTTGATAATGGTTCTGTAAGTAATAAAAGTCCTTGATCTGTGGATTTAATCAGAATCTGGTTGTTTTCTGAACAGTGGAAGAAACGAAGATCCTAAGACGCATTCAGTTAATACCCTCACATTAAAAATTGGTCTAGTTCACTCTCAGTTTTCGGATTTGATTACATCATGTTTTACTCGAGTTTTTCTTCGAGAACATGACGAAACCAGTTTTTGAGATTTCTATCGATTCTATGATAATTCCGATATCCCACGATTTCTATTTTCAAATGAAAAAGGACATTTTTATTGTCTCTTACATCGACGGCAAGATGATCAAATTGATATATTTTCTGAGAAAGAGGGCTCATTTTTAAATAATAGCAGAAAAAAAATTTAACTTTGCGACAATTCTCTCGGTCACTGGAACTCTATCTACTTACTCGATAAAATTACTTAGTTTTTCTGTAATTTCATTTTGAAAAAATCAAAAAAAGCAGATATAAACTTCAAAATCCAAGCGTAGAAATGGTCTGTACACCACGTTAAAAGAAATTGTCTTGTTTATATAACGAAAACAATAGAGCCGTATCAAATAAGGGATATCTATATCTTTTCACTTCTCGGCAAATGTGAGCAAATGTCTATATAGACATTTGCTCACATTTGCCGAGAAGTGAAAAGATATAGATATCCCTTATTTGAT